ATGCTGCTGTTCTGTCAGTTTTTTCCAGCCATGTGTGTATTTTTGTCCAATATTTTTTCGCTTTTTGGCATGTCTACCACATATGATAGTACGAACCTGGTGTCTGCTGGCATTTCCAACAAGTCGGGATGTTTTCCTAAATACAATACTGCCCCCTTAAGTCCATCTTATCAATAGAATTTCACATGGTGTTTCTTCAGAAAAAGAAGGCACAACTTTTGGGTATATAGGTAGTCCTCAAGTTACAACAGTTCGTTTAGTGACTGTTCAAAGTTGCCACGGCACTGAAAAAAGTGGTTGTTTTTCCACATTTAACAACCGTTGCAGAAATCCCCATGGACGCATCATCAAAATTCAGAAGTTTGGCAATTGACTCGTATTTATGACGGTCCTGGGATCATGCAATCCTCTTTTTGTGACCTTCTGACAGGCAAATTCAATGAGGAAACCAGACTCTGTCATGCCCCTGTCAGAATCTGAATCTGAGGAGGAAGACAAACAGCTGACAGGGAGTGGGAGTGTGGCTTTGTTGGCTGTGGAGGAAACCGGGGAAGGGTAAAGTCCGGCTGGGCAGAGATAGAACAAGGGAGAGGGAGTTCAGAGGAAGACCCAGGCCCATCCCTCTCTTCATCTTAGGACACGCAGGGAGGAATGGAGAAGGGAGCAATGTGGGTTGCATGGCTTATGGGGCAGGAAAGGGCCCTGATTCCCTTCATTAGGCAAACTTGGGAAGAGAATTTAAAACAGATGCAAGCTGATGTGGTGTCTTCTGGAAACAAACGTGAGTTTATCTTGTGTTGACTTTACTTTTGTGTGTTCCTGGTGTCCTCCCAGCCATGTTGAATGGCTGCCGTTCCTTCACTTCTGGAATTCTTGCTCCTACCCTGCCGGATTAATTACCTCACGTTGCCTTGATTGTACTTATAGTTACAGTTTTTGTTGATCACATTTTGGACTTGGTTCTCTGCAGCCAAAGGCTGTTCCTGGGAGAGTTTTTCTCCAGCCCAGAAGGTAACCAGGACATTGGGGGCAAAGTTGGAGCTAATAAAGAGACCCCTACTGATTATCTGACTGTGCTGCCTTTGTGCCATGCCCCGGGTCATCGAAAAAAAAATGTTTCTGTATCCCTTCTTCGGACCCTCAATTATTGTTTAGTTTACTTTATTGTCATTGCACCTCGTACAACGAAATCAAACACCGCCTTCAGTGGACATCATGACCTTGAAAATAAACACAAACACACATCCTTCACCCTCCACACATTGAACTGAAAACCCGCAACACCGCACCAATACTGCACTATTCAGTAGAATTCAAAAGAGCTACTGCCCTGGGATAGAAGCTGCTTTTCAGCCTATTTGTCCTTGTTTTTATTATTCTGTACCATCTGCTACATGGTAATAGTTCAAAAAAAGGGTTCCCAGGATGAGATGGATCTTTGAGAATGTTTTGAACTTTCTTAAGGCAGCGGGATTCTCTGGGCAATGACATTAATCCTCTGGAGTGCTGTCCTATCTGCCCCTGTGCAATTGGCAAACCATGCAGAGGTGCAGGAAGTTAAGATACTCTCTATGGTGCAGCGGTAGAAGGTCACCAGCAGGTTTTCATTCAGTTGTTGTATTCTGAGAAGTCTCCGGTGGTATAATCTCTGCTGGGCCCTTTTGACCAAGGCTGCAAAGTGAGCACCCCCAGGTCAGATCCTCTTTTATGGTAACACCCAGAAACTTAAAGCTGGCCACTTGCTCCACTCGGTCTCCATTGATAAGCAAGGGCTGGATGTCTGATCTGTTCCTTCTATAATCCACTATAAACTCTTTTCACTATAATTATCTTTTCTCGTTAGCAGTTACTCCGGTCTCTTTACAAGACATATTTTCCAGGCTCCTTATCTTATCCGCTCTGCCTAGTTTGTTTAATTAATAAGCATTGTCAAATGGATATGTTGGTTTTCTACTTTTATTAACAGCAGTGTTTTATTTCATCACAATCTTATTTTTATCATTGTACAAATTGCAGTTCGTTTTCTCAAGAAAAAATAACAAAAATAAAGAACTCTCTCTCTCTCTTTCTCTCTCTCTCTCTCTGCATCCATCCATCCTTTCGGGTAATAACCTTGGATCTGTACAGCCTTATAGGAAAAATATGCACATCCTCAAAAATGTTGAGAAACAGAAATGAGACAAATTTGTGCCACCGGTGATACCAACCAGTCCTGGATTTTATTCTTGACTAACAGTGCTTCAAACCTTTGGCCAAAATTTTAAGCAGCTAAAATTTGCAACCAATCGGTCTCTCTCAAAAACCAACAAAGGTCTATTGGAGATTTAACAGAATGTTGGCTTGGATTATTTCTTAAATGGTGGTTCCCTTTTATTATTTGCTTCTCAAAGTGATTCAGAGCACCTGGAGGTTTTAATAACGGGAGGTAGTCAGCCTAAGAAAGCATAAATTTTTACCGCGAGACTCAATTTTAAAAGTATAAGAGCATTTAAACCTTTTCTTTCGCTGCTGAATCTTTCTTCCACATTACAGGCAGTCCTCGACTTAATAATGGTTCATTTAATGACCGTTCCAAGTTACAGCGGCACTGACCAAAGCGACTTATGACCGTTTTTCACACTTACATGCATTGCAGCATCTCGATGGCCGCGTGATAAAATTCAGATGTTTGGCAATTGACTCATATTTATGATAGTTATAGTCTCCCAAGGTCAGGTGCTCTACCTTCTGACAAGCAAAGTCAATGGGGAAGCCAGATTCACTTAACAACCGGGTGACTACCTTAACAATTGCAGTGATTCACTTAACAACTGAGGCAAGAGAGGTGGTAAAATGGGACAAAGTTCACTTAACAAATGTTTCGTGAAAGGTTGAGCTCCATTATGGTCGTAAATTGAGGACTACCTGTAGTAATTTCAACCATTACTGGTGTTAAAGCTAGTCAGAACCAAAACCTCTAATTTGCAAGGGATTATTTACACGCTTCCTATCTTCTAGGGGAGCAATTACTAGCACGGTAGCTCAGACACAAGTGACCACAGACACGTCTTGTTTAAAATCATCCTTGTAAAAGTCTGTAGAGATTCTCAGTCATCCAGGTCATGGTCGTCCCAAAGGTGTTTTTTTTCAAGAGGCGATTGGATTTTCTTGTTTTATTTTCTTTGAAGTCATTTCGCTTCTCATCCAAGAAGCTTCTTCAACTCTGACTGAATGGTGGGGAATGGAAGGATTGATACTCCTTGCAGACAGCTGGTCACTTGTGTCCTTTCTGAGGGTCGTTGAGGCCACTGGGATGTTTATCTGTGTCCTCATGAATGATAATGGTTCCTGTAGTCTGCAATTTTTTTTCCGCTCCTGGAAATCCGTTCTTTTAGCTATGCAATTTGGGATGAACCCTCTTCGAATGGTGTGGGAGTATGAACGGATTCCCAGGAAAAATCGCAGACTACAGGAACCATTTGCGCTATTCAGGTAAACATCCAAGTGCTTCTCTGACCCACAGAAAGGATGCAAATGACCAGCTGTCTGCAAGGTATATCAATCCTTCCGTTCCCCACCATCCAAGTCAGAGCTGAAGAAGCTTCCTGGATGAGAAGGGAAAGGTCTTCAAAAGAAAAGGAAAAAAAAATCCAGAAAGTCCAGTTGCCTCCTGAAAAAGCACGTTTTGGGACTGTCCTGGTAACCAAACAACACGCGCAAAGACACAAGTCGTCTGCTGTAATGCTGCTTCCTAGAGAGAAGATTTCAAAGTAAACAGCCGAGATCAAGAGCAGGAACTATTCAAGTAGAACGCCTTCCGGCCAATGACAAAGAAAGACAAAAGTATTGTCTCAAGTATTTTGAGGGCAAAAGGTCCTATACACATTTGTCTATTCTTTCTTTAAAGTCACCTCCTAAGTCAGTGGTCGCCAACCAGTGGGCCAGGGACCACTGGTGGTCTGTGAGAAAATGTTGGTGATCCGCAGAGAAATGTCACACACAAAAAGCATCCCCTAAAGTAATTAATCCAGGCTGCGTGGGAACACAAGGCTTGTATCGCTTGCGTTGCGAACAACACGAGGTAGTGAGGGGAGGGGGGAAAGGGCAGAGGGGGGAACTTGCCCCACTCGTTCCACTGCCTGGCCTGGCCACCGGGTTGCTTCTTTCCGCTTCTTTCTTCTTCTGCTTTTGGCTGCACGCAAGGAAAACAGCAAAAGTCTTTCTTTCTCTCCCCCAAACTCCACCAGAAGTGAGTCTTTGGGATCCTGCAAGGCCTCCTGCTCCAAGAGGCTGCGCCGGCATGACAAAGTCTCACAAAGACTCATTTCTGGCAGAGTTTGGAGGAGAGAAAGAAGAGACTTCTGCTGCTTTCCTTGCATGAAGCCAAAAGTCTCTCTCTCCCCCACCCCCGCCTTCCGAGAACAGAGCTGGAGACGGTAATCCTGCAATCTCAAATAAAGAATGATCGGTTGGAAAACGGGGTGGGGAATTTTCCTGCAGACTTTTTTTTTGGTGGGGGGGATTTTCCCAGGGTCTCTGGTCCGCAGGTTTTTAAAATGAGTTTGGTGGTCCCTGAGGTCCAAAAAGGTTGGCGACCCCTGTCCTAAGTTATCTGCTGCTCTGCCACCTGTTTCTGCCCTGAGTTCCTTAAATTAAGGCAACACAGGTAGTCCTCGACTTACAACAGTTCATGTTGCGACCTTTCAAAGTTACAATGGCAGGGGAAATGGTGACCTACAACCATTTTTCACACACGATAGTTGCAGCGTCCCCATGGTCACCAGATTAAAAATCCGGATGCTTGGCAGCTGACTCATTTACGACACCCGCAGGGATGTGTGATCTGCTTTCGCGACCTTCTGACAAGCAAAGTCAATGCGGGAAGCCAGATGCACTTCAACAACCCTGTTATCCGTTTCACAGGTGCAGGGATTCCCTTAAGAAATCATCCTCTTTTAACGACCCCTTAATCCCTTGCTGGACAGATTCTGGGCAATTGAATGGAGCCGAGTGTTTATTGGCCGGATGCCTTTCCTGTTGCCAGTGCGGATTTTTTTTCCCAGCAGATATATTCTCATCATGCCGAGAGAGAGAAATATCTGCCTCTGCCTAGGATCGAACTCACACGGCCTCCCGATGGTGAGGCGAGAGCTCCACCGCTAGGCCACCGCATCACCCTATGATTCACTTCAATGTGGCAGGAAATGTCGCAAAATGGCGCAAAACAAATTTCTCACTGAGCAACAAGAATTTGGGGCCCTGTGGTGGTTCGTAAGCCGAGGACTACCTGTATGGAGTCCAGCTCCCCATACAAAGTCCGCTAAGCGAGGCGAAGGCAAAAGGGATTAGACGCATTCTCCTTTCCCAGTTGCGCACCCTACAGCTCAATGAAGAACAGGAAGACAACGTCTCGGCTTCCTGTGATGAGAGACACGGATGGGACATCCCTAACCAGAGCTGAGCCATGTCGGTTTCAACTTGTCTCAGACAGAACATCTTGATTGAGAATTGGGAGAAGCTAAAGAAAGCGCAGAAAGCTAAGGCGAAGGAGAGACAACCCAGGAAGGAGATGATCGCCAATGGACAACCGTTGCTACAACAAAACCCCACAACTACATCCAGTTACTTCAGGCCTTTTTTAACCCTCTTGTGCTGCTGTAACCACAACTTCATGTAGTGGACTTCCAAGAGGCGAGCCTGCAGAACGGAGATAGGGTCAAGGGGGTTGTTGGAACGCAGATCTAGATGATGAGCTCCTTCAGGAATCATGATGGCAACGAGTGTGTCTGTGATGTTCTTTGTCACGCTACCTCCAGACCAAGGATCCAGTCCTCCGTTGCTGGCAGAGAATGGAGAAGACAGGTGTGAATGGCACACTTCAACATTTAGGAGAAGGCAGAGAAACAATAGCAGCACCATAATTCCACCTCAGATCAAAATTCGGTTCATTTCTCTTTTTTTTCCTTCCCTATTTATTTATTTTAATTTTAATTATAAGAACACAACACGGTGTAGCCGTTCTGGCATTACAATTGTTATACATGTATAAATTTTACTTCAGCATTTACAATCCTTTTTTTTTTTTTTGATACATTTTTTACTAATTATTATAATCATCATATTTACTTATGTTCTAACCTTGCCTTCTTCTATGCAACCACTGATAAAAATTATTCCACGTTTCATAGTACTCGGATTCTCCTTTATTTTTTAATTCTAGGTTTAACCTTTCCAATTCTCCACAAGCCGTAATTTTCCTTATTATCTCTGTTTCTGGAGGTACGTTTTCCTTCTTCCAATATTGAGCATATATTATTCTAGCCGCCGTCAACACATGTACTGCTAGATAAATTAAATCCTTCCTATATCCTTCTGATATTATTCCCAGGGGAAAAAATTCCGGCTTCAATGGAATATACTCTGCCACCATTTGTTCTACACATGTCTGGATCAGTCTCCAATATTTTTTTTTTGCAGCATTGCAGGTCCACCACATGTGAAAAGATGTGCCTGATACATCTTTGCATTCCCAACGATTTGGAGATAGACTTTTGAACATTTTGGAAAGTCTTGCTGGCGGAAGATGCTACCTTAAAACATCTTATAATTTGGGTTGTTTCTCTGAGAGCATCTCTCTCATCAAGCATCGTGAATTATGACATCAACACTCAAAAATCAGAAGACAGTTCTTTCCGTACCCACCCCAGTACCCGACCATTTTTCTTTATTTACATCCCATCTTTTTTTTATTTTTATAAATTACTCAAGTGGGCAAACATATGTAGTAGTGCAGGTGCAGTGAATTAGAATGCTATATTGCAGGCTAACTCTGCCGACTGCCAGCAGTTCGATCCTGACTGGCTCAAGGTTGACTCAGACTTCCACCTTTCCGAGGTCGGTAAAATGAGAACCCAGATTGTCGGGGGCAATAAGAAAATAATGCTTCTACACTGCCCAGTGTAAACTGCCCAGGGAGTGTTGTAATGTAAAGCATTACGGGGAAGTACAGTATGTAAGTCTAAAGTAGAGCTGTAGCGGTGCAGTGGTTAGAATGAAGTATTGCAGGCCGATTCTGCTCACCGCCAGGAGTTTGATCCTGACCGGCTCAAGGTTGACTCAGCCTTCCATCTTTCCGAGGTGGGTAAAATGAGGACCCAGATTGTTGGCGGGGGCAAGAGGCTGACTCTGTAAGACCGCTTAGAGAGGGCTTGTTGTGGCCCGTTGCTGACAGCAGACTCAGACAGTGAGTAGGTTGGGGAGGAACATGAGCCAGTCCTGGAGTCTGGGGAAGGCTCTGATGAGGGCTCTGCGTTGGAGGCAGAAATGGGGCCAGGGCTGTTTGACAGTTATCAGCTGCCTTCAGAGTCGGAGATCAGTGGGGCAGAAGAACAGCTGGAGCCTGTTCCTAGTGTGCGCATGCACAGAGCTGCCAGGAGAAGGGAACAGTTAAGTGACAAGGGTCGACTTGGGAGTAAGGGCAAAGGTAGACGGTGAATGGCCCCTCCCATAGGAAATAAAGAGGAACGAAAGGGGAGTGGGGTTTGCAGGAGACAATTAGTTTGTTTAATTAGTGTGAAGATTTGTTCCTGACTTCTTGCCAAGTAATTTCTGCTACAGTGTGGCGTTTGGAAGATATTGGCCTGGCAACTCTCCCAGCCTGATAAAGGTCTGTAGTGAAATCTCATGAAAGACTCTTTGCTGAGACTTTGCTGGAGAGGAATTCCCTTTAACCTAAATTAAAAGGGGTTTTATCGGGACGGGGAGTCTGTTTCACGATCTTGGGAAGCTTAGGTCAGAACAACGCTGCTGCTGTGGTTATGTACAACAGAAACTCACCTGAAAATGATGTTACTGTGCGCACTTATGTTTTTCCCACCGTAAAAGATGGGAATCCAAGAAGGGCGGGGTCGTACGCCCCAGGTTTTGAAACACTCCTCTGAGTAAGCCTGGAAGTCCCATTTCTGTGGCTCAAACATATCGTTGATACCGTCCGAACACATGGGCATCACCATCTCAGTGCAGGCCTTGTAGACGAGAAAGGAAACAGGAGCGCTTTAATTTTATAAGATCCTGGCTTGGAAGAGCAATGTCAGAGAGACAGAAGTTCACATGTGAATCCCTTAAAATGTGAACTCTTTTAAGATTTCTTTATTATTTATTACATTTCTAGGCTGCCACCTGACTAATAGAGCTGTCATGCCCCCATCGGAGTCTGAATCTGAGGAGGAAGACGGACAGCTGACAGGGAGCGGGAGTGTGGCTCCGTTGGCTGTGGAGGAAACTGGGGAAGGGCAAAGTCCGGCTGGGCAGAGCAGGGGAGAGGTAGAACAAGGGAAAGGGAATTCAGAGGAAGAGCCAGGCCCATCCCCTCTTCATCCTAGGGCACACTAGGAAGAACTGAGAAGAGAGCAACGTGGGTTGCTTGGCTTATGAGGGAGGAAAGGGCCCTGATTCCCTTCACAAGGCACACCTGGGGAGGGAGTTTAAAGGAGAGGCAGTTGGGAGGGGGTTTGTTGGAAACAAACGTTGAGTTTATCTTGTGTTGGTTACTGTTATAAGTTCCTGGCATCCTCCCAACTGGTTTGATTTACTGCTTTGTTACTCCATTTCTGGAACTCCTTATCTTGCTCTGCCGGATTTATTACCTTATTTTGCCTTGCTGGATTTATAGTTTAAGGTTTTCCGTTTACAACGTTTGGACTGAAATATTTGCAGCCAAAGGCTGGTGCAGGTTCGTGGGTGAGTTTTTCTCCAGACTGGAGAGTAACCGGATCATTGGGGGGCAAAGTTGGAGCTAATAAAGAGACGTCTACTTATTCTCTGGCTGTGTTGCCTTTGTGTCACACCCCCGGTCATCACAAAAATGCTTAAAAAGATTAGAACAAAAAGTTACAAAATTTTTTTAAAAATGACTATGACTTTTACATTGGAAAAAGGGTCACCTTACACCATGATTGCCATTCACCCACCCTTCCCATTGTTGCCATGATGACTACGGGGTGCACACCCACCTGGTAAGACCAGCCCTGAAGGCCCAGACTTTTAGTAGTAGTCTGAGTTAAGTTCAAGCAGGATGCATGCCCCGTGTAGTTGTAGTAGATGTTTACAGCCTGGAAAATATTCTGTAGCAACAACCTGTCTGGCAGTTTAGGGTTTTTCAGGTATTTGCAGATAACCTAGAGAAGAGAAAAAAAAAACCAATAGAGAAGAACAAGGGTCCCCCTCAAAATAGCAGAGAGTTACACAATGCAATCCTGCACAGAACAGCTTATTCTTGGCACATAAGCAAAGTACAGGTAGTCCTTGACTTGCGACCCCAATGGAGCTTAAAATTTCTGTTGTTAAGTGGGACATTTGTTAAGAGTTTTACGAACTCTCTTGCCTCGGTTGTTCAGGGAATCGTCGTAGCTGATAAGTTAGTAACCTGGTTGATAAGTGAATCTGGCTTCCCCATTGACTTTGCTTGTGTTCTGACTCACGGCCTTTTCTAACAAATCAAACACAATCCAAAGGAACAGAAACCTTGCAATGCTTTTACAAAATAATTAGCTGCGATAAGCACAAGCCTTGCCAAACTGTGCAAGACTTGCCAAGAGATAACAGACAAGAAATAATTTGCAAAATAAGAATCTTCAAATACAAACTCAGGATACTGGAATGTCCCCGAGGCTGGAGTTTCAAAACGTCTTTGCCTTCTGCAAAGTATGTTCGTTTCACAGGTGGCTTTTATCTTCTTGAAGGAGGAGCCATTACCTTGCAGCCTTACTCCTGAGTTGCCCGTACTGCTGTAACTGCTCTTTCCTCCGAGCAATCCTACGTGCAAGCGTATCTGGCACAGGCTCCTCAGGAACCTCCTCATTGCTGCTGCCAGCCCCCACAATCTCTGAAGGCAGCAGTCCACTCCCTAATGGTCCCGGGCCCTCATCTGAGTCCTCACTCTCCTCGGCCGTCCGCACCTGCTGCCGGCTAACCACAACAGCTTGTCAAAAGGTTGCAAAAGGGGGCCCCATGACCTTGGGAAACAGCAATGGCCATAACATGAATCTGTTGCCAAATATCTGTAATTTTGATCACGCGATGATGAGGGGTGGGATCTCTTACTTCTTTGTCCTGCCCTCAATGGTTTTCTTTGAAGATATTTTGCTTCTCATTCAAGAAGTTTCTTCTGCTCTGACTGGATGGTGGAGAATGGAAGGATTTATATTCCTTGCAGACAGCTGGTCATTTGCATCCTTTTAGAGGGTCGTTGAGGCCACTTAGAGGTTTAGCTGTGTCCTCGGGGTCACTTAAGTAGTGCATATGGGTGTGGAGCCTTCTTGGAACTGCCAAAGGGACTGTGTTGTGAGGACACAGATAAACCTCCAAGTGGCCTCAACAACCCTCTAAAAGGATGCAAATGACCAGCTGTCTGCAAGGGATATAAATCCTTCCATTCCCCACCATCCAGTCAGAGTTGAAGAAGCTTCTTGGACGAGAAGCAAAACGTCTTCAAAAGAAAAACCAGAAAGCCCAGTTGCCTCTTGAAAAAGCACCTTTGGGACGACCATGACCTGGATGTCTGAGAATCTCCATAGATATTCAACCGTTCATTCTACAATTGAGCCTGCAGACCCTTCATTATCTTTGTTGCTCTTCTCTCCACACTTTTCCAAGGTCTCAACATCTTTTTTTTGTATCATGGTGACCAGAACTGGACACGGTACAGGCAGTCCTTGATTTACAACCGTCCGTTTAACGACCCTTCAATGTTACATCGCTGAAAAAGGGACTCGTGACCAATTTTCACACTCGTGACCGTTGCGGCATCCCCCCGGCCACGTGATCAAAATTCGGATGCTTGGCAACCAATTCACATTTATGATGGTTGCAGTGTCCCTTGGGGCCACCTGTTCCCCTTTGCAACTTTCTGATGAGCAAAGTCAATGGAGAATCCAGATTCACTTAACAACCATGGGACTAACCTAACAACAACTACAGCAATTCACTTAGCAAGCGAGTCATAAAATGGGGCAAGACTCCCTTAACCAATGTCTCAGTCAGCAACAGAAATATTGGGCTCGGTGGGTTGAGGATTACCCGTATTTCAATTCTGCAGGTAACCGAATTAGATTGGAATCACAGTGAGGGAAGGGTAGCCAGAATCCAAATGACTTCATCAAATCTGATGACGTTTAAACTGAATTCACATTAAACTTAAAACGTCACATTGTCAGCAAGATCTGAGCTGCCTTGAGGGAGGGAAGGAGGGAGGGAGGGAGGGAGAAGGTTTAATCCCTTAATAAGATGGTTTCTATCTTTCCCCAGTTGTCCAAATCCATTCTCAGCTGGAAGATGCAGGATTTCCCAAAATTTTTCTGCCCCTGCAGACAGGCAATACAGAAGTTAAAAGAGTTGCTTTAAGAGGCTGCAACTTTTATGGAGAGCAATGGGGAGAGGATGGGAACAAGAAAGAGAAAGAGATAGACAGAGACAGAGAAAGAGAAAGAGAGAGACAGACACACAGAGAGAGCCTCCCATTTCCACAAGGGTACTATTTCTCCCCACTTCTCCTGCCCCATGACTGAAGAGGATTAAACCAATGTATTCAGCCAGCTGAATGAATCGACCTTTTTTAGCTTCTCAATAGCTCTCCGGAGCTCAATCTCAGAATAATCACATTAGTTTGGTCACTGAAAACCCTCTGGGTTTCCAAACAAAGAAAAAAGAGAAGTGACTGGGAAAAGCTTACGCCACCCAGGGAAACTGAATACGTTCGTTTTATTTAGAAAAAAAAAAAAAGGATTTGACAAAAGAGAAGAGACCCCCTTCTTGATTTTAGACCCTGGATGGATCGGAATATCTCGTGAAAAGGGAAGGCCCACCACCACCATTTCATAAGCAAACAAACAAACAAACCTCTTTATAAAAAGGTTGCAAGCACCAAGGACACCCATAAAGCTCAAAGTATAATTGGCAAATCTTAACAAGCCAGCATTCAAGGGTTGCTTAAAAGAACGAAATCTGAGAGCCTAAAAAACAGAGTTTCTCAAGCTTCACGATTTTAAAATGGGTGGACTTCACTTCCCAGAATTCCTCAGCCAGCAAGCTCAATAGAGCAATGTTGGCCCCTTCAAGGCATTTTTCATAAATTTAGAGTAGAGTAGAGTAGAGTAGAGTAGAGTAGAGTAGAGTAGAGTAGAGTAGAGCAGAGTAGAGTGAAATAGAAATAGAAATAAGAATAGAATAGAATAGAATAGAAAAGAATAGAATAGAATAGAATAGAACAGAACAGAACAGAACAGAACAGAATAGAATAGAATTCTTTATTGGCCAAATGTGATTGGACACAAAAGGAATTTGTTTTTGGTGCATAAGCTCTCAGTGTACGTAAGAAAAAAAATAAAATACATTCATCAAAAATCATAAGATACAACACTTAGCGAAAGTCATGGGATACTAAGAAGCATCAAATTATACTAGGAAACAAATAAAACAATATAAATTGTGAAGATACAAGCAATACAGTTTTTGTCATAAGTGTGAAGAGATAGGTAATAGGAAGGATAAGAAGAATAGTAGTAGTACAGTTTTACTAAGTAGTTTGACAGTGTTGTGGGGATTATTTGTTTAGCAGAGTGATGGCATTTGGGAAAAAGCTGTCCTGTGTCTAGTTGTTCTGGTGTGCAGTACCCTCTAGCGTCATTTTGAGGGTAGAAGCTGAAACAATTTATGTCCAGGGTGTGAGAGGTCTGCAGGTATTTTCACAGCCCTCTTTTTGACTTGTGCAATATTCAGATCTTCCATGGAAGGTAGTCCTAATTACTCCTAATTTTGTGCAGTCCTAATTATCCTCTGAAGTCTGTGTCTGTCCTGTTGGATTACAGAACCAAACCAGACAGTTATAGAGGTGCAGATGACAGACTCAATAATTCCTCTGTAGAACTGGATCAGCAACTCCTTGGGCAGTTGAGCTTTCTGAGTTGGTGCAGAAAGGACATTCTTTGTTGTGCTTTTTTGATGACGTTTTTGATGTTAGGTGTCCATTTTAAGTCTTGAGAGATGATAGATTAGTTTAATTTGGCTGCAACTCTTGGTTTCCCCATTGGGTACGATCAATCCTCGAGCTACTTAGCCTTCTGTCTTGCTACATATTATATGAACGAAATGGCTTTTGCTGTCCCATGGAATCAAAATAACTTGAGAAACAAGCAACTCAATGCAGGTAGCCCTTGACTTACAAACCATTCACTTTGCAACTGTTGAAAGTTACAACGGTTCAAAGTCACTAAACAAATGGTTATAACTCAGGGACTACAAGTAGCGGTGTGGCCAGCTCTAAAAGATCTGCAGAAACTCAGCAAGGGTGACAGGACCTCAGAACTCCAAAGCCACCAGAACATGGATACTTTTATTCATGAGGGAACCTGCTCTCTTTTTGGTTTTGCTCAGGAATTTAATTTTGGCGCCTTCTGGAAAAGGCCAATTGAGTCATAGAAAAAAAACACTTTTAGATTTAGTTACCTTAACTGGCCAGGCAGGGAGAGGCTGTAAGAAAGCAGCTTCATACGGATAGTCTACCATGGCCACGTAAATCCACGTCTCTCTCAACCATTCTCTGAAGTTGATGACATCTGTTGTGGATTTCAAGGGGCTGCACAAACGAAATGTGTTGGAAAGCCACTGTAAACCTTTCTCTAAAGAGAAAAAACATATATATTTCAGTGTGTGAAAGAGTTGAGGGCTGTTTGGAAACTGAAACAGTATTTGCTGTGTGTGAGCAAGAAGGAGAAAACAGGGAGCCTGGGCATGGCTTAACTCAACTGTTCTGTACTAAAGCTGCTTGGTGCTGCTGTGAAACTGAAACTCCTCTCCTCTGCTTGTGTTTTGCATTTGGAACAGATTTCTTTTCAGACAGGGAGGGGCAGTAGAACTCTTTAGCATCAGAGCGTGTTAATAATAATATAGGAAATACTCTAAATGCTCTGATGGTCCTTTGGAAAAATCCTTTCTTAGTGAGCACCTAGAAGCCAAGAAGAACATAGGTGCCAAATTTCAAGTTTGTAGGCTTTACGGTTCTGGAGATTTTGTGATGATGCATGAGTGGTATTTCGCTTTTATATATATATAAGATATAAGATATACACATATGGATCTTTGGTTATTCGGGTTTCCTCCCGCGTAAAATTGAAAGTATCTAGGTGATGTTTCGATGAAGTCTCATTCATCATCTTCAGGCTTGTGTCTTTGGCTTTGTGCTTTACTCCGAGAAGCACAAAGCTGAAGACACAAGCCTGAAGATGATGAATGAGACTTCATCGAAATGTCGCCTAGATACTTCCAATTTTACGCAGGAGAAAACCCAAATAACCAAAGATCCACATACAAATATCTGCGAAAACCTCAGAATATATATAGTAGACAATCACTTGAATATGAGCCAGCTGTGTGCAGCCACCAAAAAAGCTAATACAATCCTGAGTTGTATAAACAGAGGCATAGAATCAAGATGATGTGAAGTATTACTTTATAAAACCCTAGTAAGACCACACCTGGAACACTGCAACCAATTTTGGTTACCATACTACAAAAAAGATGTTGAGACTTTAGAAGAGAAGTCAGAGAAGAGCAACTAAGATGATCACAAGCCTGGAGACTAAAACATATGAAGAAGGGCTGCAGGATTTGGGTCTCACTAGTCTAAAGCAAAGAAGAATCACAGGTGAAATAACAGCAGTATTCTAGTATTTGAGGGGCTGCCACAAAGAAGAGGGAGTCAAGCTATTCTCCAAAGCACCTGAGGGCAGGATAATGGTTGGAAACTAATCAAAGAGAGAAGCAATCTGGAATTCAGGAGAAACTTCCTAAAAGGGAGGACAATTAACCAGTGGAACAGCTGGCCACCAGAAATCGTGGGTGCTCCAACCCTGGAGGTTTTCAAGAAGAGATTGGACAGTCATTTGTCTGAAATAGTATAAGTTCTCTTGCTTGAGCAGGGGTTGGTCTAGAAGACCTCCAAGGTTCCCTCCAGCTATTCCATATCAGAGTTACTCAACCTTGGCCACTTGAAAATGAATGGACTTCAACACCCAGCTTAGCAATTACTCGTTAGCTGCTTACTTGTGTCAGCAATACGTTTAATGGCCGCCCAGGAATTTTGGATGGTTTCCGAACAGCCAATCCCGCTTTTTTTGAAATCTTCAGTCACTATCTTATAGAAAGAGCCACAGGGAACCAAGTTATCGAACTGCCAAACAGGGGCCGACGCAGCCAGAGCTCTGCAAGCAAAGAGACAAAATACAGGTAATCCTTGACTTACAGCAGTTCGCTTAGTGACTGTTTAAAGTTACAATGGCGCTGAAAAAAAGGGACCGATGATTGTTTTTCACACTTACGACCGTTGGTCATGTTATTTACATTCGGATGCCCAAAGTCATTTAGCCAACTTTCATGCCTAAGGCGGGACTAGAACTCACAGTCTCTCATGATTGGCCCAAAGTCACTCAGATGACTTTCATGCCTAAAGTGGGACTAGAACTCACAGTCTCTCATGATTGGCCCAAAGTCACCCAGATGACTTTCATAACCGAGGCAGGACTTGAATTCATGGTCTCTCCCCCTTTCCAGCATGGTGTTTTATAGGCATGAAATGAAATTAAGCCCCTCCCCCCAAATTAAGGCCTATATTAAAACATGTGAAATGGGGGGAATGGTGGGGGGGGCTTGCCGTTAGGAAGTACTTTTGTTGCACACCTGGATATGGTGCTGCCTGCGTTGACCCCGACACGAAGTGCCCCACCAACGCCGAGGTCAACATCCAAGCCGTTGCCGCCCGCCCGAAGATGCAAGGGGGGGGAATTAAGTCACCCCCGAAAAGACGGCCTAGCCATTTTTCGGGGCTCAAAAAAATAAAATAAGACCCGGCCTTATTATATGAGAAACACAGTAGTAGTTAATCCAAGCAGTAGTAATCAAGAACCACCCATGGAGAAAGATGCAGCTCGATTCAGAAACTAGCCGGTTCCTCTGTGGTTCCGCAGGAGACGGGGCCAAGTTGTTTCAGACTCACCCAATTACTATGTGGGGATACTTCATTCGGAACCAGGCAGCAAGCATTCCTCCATAGGAGCCTCCTATGGCTATCACGGGGGTAGTCTCCGTTCCAGGGATGGAATTTTTCAAGTGCTGGATAAGTACCGCAAAATCAGCCAAAGCTTGCTGCGAAGTCAGATAATTCAAATGTTTGGCATCCTGAAACGAGACCACAAACCTTTTGTAGGGTGCCCTTAGTAAAGAGATTCCTTAGGCCAGGGGTCTCCAACCTTGGCGACTTTAAGACTTGTGGACTTCCAACTCTCAGAGTTCCTCAGCCAGCAAAGGTGGTCAAAGCGTTAAGTGAACCTGGTCAAAGCGTTGTTAAATGAATCTGGTTTCCCCATTTACTTTTTTTTTTTTCTAGGTCACAAAAGGGAATCACATGACCGCCGGGGACACTTCAACCATCCTAAATATGAACCAGTTTTGATCACATGATCATGGGGATGGCTACAATAGTCATAGGCGTGAAAAACTGGTCGTAAGTCACTCTTTGGCGTGACGTTGTAACTTTGGATAAGTCAAGCACTACCTGTATAGCTTAATTCAACATATGAGCTCAGTCTGTGACTACCTTGAATTGGGAGTGATACTTACGGCGTAGGACTTATTTCCGAACGGTAATGATTCCCCGTAGTATCTGTGTTCGGCGAAAACCAGGAGTGCACCCAATTCTTCAGCCACATTCCACATGAAACCCTGGAATGGAGCAAAGATTATCAGGGTTTTTCAACTAGTTCGGTAAAGAATAATCTTCAATCTTTCAAAAGTTTATATTGTAAAAAAAAAAGCCTAAAATATTTTAACGGGATACATGAGCTAGAAATAATGGAATAGGAATAGAATAGAATAGGAAATAGAATATAAACTATAGAATACAGAATATAGAATAGAGAGTAGGAATAAGAATAGGAATAGGAAATAGGATAGAATAGGAAATAAAATATAGAATATAGAAAAGGAATAGAAATAGAATCAAATAGGAAATAGAATAGGACATAGAATATAAATATAGAATATACAATAGGAATAAGAATAGGAATAGGAAAGAGAATCATATAGGAAATAATAGAATAGCAAATAGAAAAGAATAGAAAAGAACAGAACAATGGAATTGGGAATAGGGAATAGGGAATAGGGAATGGGAATAGAATAGAATAGAATAGAATAGAATAGAATAGAATAGAATAGAATAGAATAGAATAGAATAGAATA